TACCCCAACCAGGATTCGAACCTGGGACCTCCCTCAATCCGTGACGGGCGTCTTACCAGTTCCCTACGCAGCCCCAGTAGTCGAGCTGGTAAGACTCCCGTCACGGATTGAGGGAGGTCCCAGGTTCGAATCCTGGTTGGGGTAATATTTTTCGCAATAAGAATTTTAATTGCCAGATACGGTCAATAAAAATCATTGATGTTACAAATATATAAGATCAAAGAAAAATCAAATCAAAATATTTTTCATACATTTAAGAATTAATTTTAGTATAATAGTATATTTACGTACCCATTTTTGAATTAAATAATTTCAACAGAAAATTTTGAATAAAAATAATTGTAATAATAAATGCTATCTAATTAAAATTCTTTATCGTAATCTCTGTTTTATATTTTCTAGAAAATAACTCTTTATATTAACTATCACGGAAGATAATAACAACAACAGAATATTTTACATTTTACGTAGATGGTAGATAAATTTCTTTTAATGTAAATCATATTTTATTACTAAGGGGAAAAATAATATACGATAGGACAAAGTTATTTACTTTTTTTTATCAGTAGTAAGTTTGTATGAAATCGCAATTAATGTATTAATCGCGAAATCTACTGGTATAAATTCAACGTGATAATTGCCGTTGCAGTGCATTGATCTGATAACACCTTTGCCTGCACCGACTAGCAATCCTATTGGTCCGTTTAAGTTATCGACCCATCCTGGCATCGGCTCTTCGTAACTAGGTAGTACTGTACAAAAAGATGAATTAATTTTTGTAATTCTTTATTTAGAATCATCGAAACATTATTTTTATAATATCAGGTAATTTTTAAAATATTTTTTGATTACCGATCGATGGTCTAGCGATGCAGCAAGGTATATTGGGGTATTCGTTGGCCACCAGCGTTTCTGCTAAACATTTTGTGTACGTGTAAGTGTTTGGATGTGGATGTATTAATCTATAAATAAGAAAGTGGATATGTATAATGTAATATTTACATCTTTCATAAATATATGATGTAACTTAATTAGTTTCATTTAAAATTTTACTTAAGCAATCGACAGAAAGAAACAATCGCTTTAATAAATACACTAACAATACTAATATGTGTATTAATTTTAGATAAATATGCATCATTTTAGATTAATATGCATAATTTTAGACATGTTAACATAAATTAATCAAGAGTGCAATCATTATTATACAATAATTGTTAATATTTATTGTAATTAATTTTATAATTAATATTAGTGAATTGTACCCATTGGATACGCTTATCATTAATCTGTCGAATATCATTAATAACGTCGTAAGTTTAATTACTTGGACGTAATAAGATCGATACTCTCATCATCTAAGCACTGAACAAGTCTCATGATATCTTGAGGTTCAACGGGCGGGTTGTAGATACGCTCGCCAAGTTCCTCTTGATCGACGTGACCGAAAGCTGTGCTTAAATGTACAAAAGACTCTAGATGTTTCATTTCTTTTGCCATATCCAATACTCGTTGTGTACCTGTCTTAAAGATTATTCAAACTTCATGTATTTTAGAAATTATCAAAAGTATTACGCATATATTATAAAATTAAGTTCTAAAAGATATATCGTAATCAAATTCAACTAAGTGTTTTGTCGTCTCAATTTAATTGACACGATATTGTCTTACCGACTTTTTCATTATTTAAAATATCACTTGAACATGGAGTTAAAAAATGATCATAAATACTTTAGATTGCGTACCATATTTGATATTAACAATCAACATAAAACACACGAATGCAATTCTAAAAATAATGGTTGAGACTTCTTTATGGCGATAAATATTTTACCGTGTTCATCTCAATGGCATCTTTCAATTTCGAATTCATTCGAAGCGTCGCGGCGAAGTTAAATACCACATTTACTTCGTTTATTAAGAGCTCACGCTGTTGATCGATGAGACCTAAATCGGGCAAACATATGTCGCCAGTCAGCAGTATTACTTTCTTAAAAAGGTTAGGTTTCTCATTCCGCAATCTTTGAAACAGCTATAAGAATATTAATTATTAGTAATTATTAGTAACTGTTTGCACAAATACATATAATGCACGTATTACCATTCGATTTCAAGCTACATCGTAATTCGAAAAATGTTGAATTTATCCAAAACAGATTTATGAACTAATTTTTCACGTATGTTCGAAGTTTCTCGTATGCTGTGCAATTAAAAATTCTTATAATACAATAGTATTGTTTTAAATAAGAATTCTAAATCTCAAAATATATAACTTTATTGAATTATACGCTCGTAAAGTATTCTTTATGTAGCTTTCTATTTAACCGTGAGTTTCTCAATAATAGTTTTGCGCATTATTAATTCACAATAAATAAGATTACTCAGGATAAAATATGCTAATTTATTCAATTAATTGCAATTGGTGTTTCACGACATTAGTAAGAATTCAGATTGCCACGATATTATTTTGCGTAATATTACTTGGACGATTATGGTAGCGTAATTTGCATGGGTTTCTTACAGGCAATTTGAACATGTCGTCGAGCCGACTTTGGACAGTGCAGCTTCTCTTCACACGCATGAGAACGTAGATTTTGTCAAGATCGGAACAGGAATACAGTAATTTCTCCAAGAGAACTTTACCCATGAAACCAGAAGCGCCAGTAATAAAAACGGTCTTGCCTATGTAGAAGGATTGAATTTCAGACGTTGTCACTTTTTCCTCCATGGTTGTGAACTGAAACATTATAAAAATTTTAGTATATTACGAAATTAATGATCAAGACAGATAGATAAATAAATAGAGAGAGAGAGGGGGAGGAGAGAGAGAGATAGGGGGGAGGGAGGGAGGGGAGGGGGGGGGGAGAGAGAGAGAGAGTACAGTACTTACGAATTCCTCGGTCACGCACTCCGCTATGTAATGCGATATTGCGAACAATGCGACAATGCAGTTTTTCGAGTTATCCGTACAAGGTTTTATCCAATGAAGGAAGTGCATTCACTAAATACTGTAGAATCTACGCGTGTAATTTACATGAGTCGTGCAAACTTGCAGCTCATTGTTGAAGCAAATGCGTGACAAACCATATTAAAATTTGTATTAGTTTTCGCATGACGATGATTTACTCAGTAAACAACCGATATGTCAGGAAGATGCATAGGTGAATTGGGACAAGACATGAAGATTTTTTCTTTACTATTAGCTTATTCTTGTAAAGATAAATGTCAAAGAGGCCTTAAGTGCTTTGCACACATATATTTTTATGAACTTTAAAGTCAAGTAATTAGTATAAGATAAAGGAAGGAAGAGCAAAAGAAACATGGAAAAATATGTGTAAAATATCAGAAAAAATGAATAATTTGATGATTATTGTCGTTGAAATCCGTAGAAAGGTGTAGAAAATATAATTACATAGCACAATGCAAAAATTAAATTAACAAAACATTTGCCTCCTATCAAATACCATCTTTTTGCTTAACTAATCATATTTGTAAATGTTTTACATTTCTTCTGCTACATAAGGTGACGTTTTTTACTATAATTTAATTAATGCTGAGTGAACTCGTACTTAATTACTGTGTTTATAATATTGTTGCATTTATAAAGTTATAAAAAGATTTTAAAAAAAGAATAAAAATGTATCCGACACAAATTATACAGGGTGAGTCATAACATTTGTACCAGAGCTCGTGAGAAGGTAGAACGGATCGAGATGAACAGAAAAGTCCTGAACCATTTGCAATTTTCGCAATAGTTAACGAGTAATAAATTATCGAAAATCGTCGTCTTTGCCCTGCCCACTGTCCAATTCGAGCGCGTGGCAAGATGTGACCGCCCGGCGATCGATATTGTCAGGCGCGAGGGGGGGACAGCGCGCCGTTGCCGGCGAGCTTACGTCGCCGCTCCCGCGTCTCGCGTCCCCACCCCTCGCCTGACAATATCGATAGCCGGGCGGTCACATCTCGCCACGCGCTCGAATTGGACAGTGGGCAGGGCAAAGACGACGAT